GGCCCTAAGAGGCTGTTTCTGGTGATGGTGGCAGCCTCAGGGCTCCATGGCACTCAGAGGAGGAACTCCTGGTTGATGATCCAATCATTCCTGCACTTAGCTGCTTTCATCAGGAAGACTTTCAGCTATTTCTGGTGAAAGGAGCATTAGACATCACCCTTGCCACATCCCTCTAGACCAGGGCTTAGTCACTCATCTTACCTTCATTGTGGTTCCCAACTAGCCTAATTCACAAGGCCTTCAAAAAATCCCACTCAGGTTTGATGGCCTCATGAATGAGGCCAGTGGGGAACTGCATGAGACTGGTGTGTTTGCCAGCCTCAGCCTGACGGAGGGGTATGCTTCCCAACTGGCCTCATTTATGCTGCCAGCCTCCCTGATGCACTATGCCTACATCATTGGGCACATTACATTTCCTTTTTTTGTAATAACACCTTCAAAATTGGAATGTGTATTACATTTGTTGGCACATTATAGTCAAGTAAATATGATATATAAACAAATTTCAACAAGCTGCTAAAAACTTATGTTGTTGGGGTTTTTTGGGGGGAGGGATGACAAGACACATAGCAAGTTGAGTTCCTGATGTATGGTTGGCATCTACATGAGCTAAAATGACTAATATGACTATAAAGACATTGAGTAAACAAACACGGACAGCTAGCAGAAAGACACCACCGTGTCTGTGTGACACATCTCTTCTTCCCTTTAATTATGTGAGCTCCCATTGGGCTGTTACGATGTGGTGGAGGTTAGTGAAAAGCAGGTATCAATAGGAGGGCAAAGGCACGGATTGCTCCTGGAGTCAGATCTCCACAGCTTTACATCTTTGTCTCTTTTTGTACTTCTAAGAAAGTAACAACATAGTAGATAGTATACTTCAAGGTTTCTGTACAGATTTATTAGGCATGGTGAACATGTTATGCAAACCTACTTCAAGTTGTAACAGAAACAGATAAAAAGCAAGTAAAATAGAAACATTTAAATCATATTTGTTTGTTTTTTCAGTGTGCAACAGAGAGGTGTGGATCTCTTTCCACTCTCAACCCCTGTGGCAGCCCTTCTTAGCCTTAGGTGGTATAGGTCTTCTAAATACATAAATCAAGGTGATTTGGAAGTAATTCTTCTCACTGCTTCCACTGGGACATATTTCTACACAAGGATGCCTGGGCTTACAGTCTGATATTCACATCTATTTTGCATAAATTGAAAGATTTCCATGACAGACGGCAGCAAATGCTTCAGGAGAGTAACAAAAACCTCTAAGTGTCTTTTCAATATTCTTCTATTGTCTGCTTTGTGTCTTGCATTTATGCATGTCAGTGGCATTCCCCAAACTAGAAGTGACAATTAGCACAGAACATTTCCAGTGTTATAAAGTGATGTCCTGGATTGCATAACATGAAAGGCATAACACAGGATATAAATGGCCTTGCAATAATAGAATATAGAACTAACAGATCCTCTTGTAACTGATATCCCAAAATGCTTTCTGGGTTGACAGTTTTGGCAGAATCATCTGCCAGCTTTTGCTGCTACTGCTGCATGGATGTATATATGCCTTCAAGGCACCTGGCAACTTATGGTGATCCCTTGATTCATAGGGTTTTCTTAGACTTCACTTCACTTCACTTTATTTCTTAATTAGTCGCTCTCCACCAAGGTGCTCCGAGCAACTTACAATTTAAAATAGCATTTACACAATATAAAAACATAGACAAGGAATACCCTGAGGTGGTTTTGCCTGTTCCTCCCACTGAATCATAGCATGAACTACCTGGTGTTTGTGGTTGGTCTTTTGTCCAAATATTAATATTAATGAGGGCTAGCTTTGCTTCACTTCCAAGTTCAGATGGATCTGGTTCCTTCATGGTATTTAGGCTTTGGTGCTCACATTTAGTTATATTTTGGAATGTATCTGTGTTGGAAATAGGGGTAAACAATTAATCTGGTTGTTTTAAATATGACTGTACCCGGATCTTTAAAAATCTTCTTATTCAGAGTGGAAACAATATAACATTTTAAAAACTTGACTATGCGGGGAAACCAAAAAACACATAATCTTCCATCCAGATCCAGAGCCTCAAAGTCTTAGTTCATATCGCTATACCCTCACAGCATTCTAATACTGAATTAGTATTTCCCCTTCCTAATTTTTATGTGAGATTGGTGAAGGAGAGGAAAGAATATAATTTCTGTTCATTGTAAAAGAATTGATCACACATGTAAATTGCTTCAAATTTGGAATGGAAAGGATGCTTAAAGAAAAGTAAATCTGGAGAAAAAGTGAAAATGACATTTCCTCTTGAGTATACTAATCAGGAAAGAAATTAAGTTTAAAGATTTACCAATGAGACTGGAAAGAAAAGGGGGAGGTTTTTCCAGTCAGTGTGGTTCCTGCCGTTTCACAATGTTTCCGTAATGGAAATCTCTCTCTTTGATGCTGAACCCCTATGAATGATTTTGTTTTTATCTTTTATAGGGACTTGTAAATTAGATCTACTATGTAGAACTTGCACCATAATATTGTAGAGTGGCAGAAATGTTAATATTTGAGAAATAATAATTTCACAAGTTTTCTCCCTGCTGAATAATGTTTTTGTGCCATCCTTGCCTAATTTTCACTTCTCCTGAAGTGTTTCATGACATTATTCTATGCAGAAAGAAGGTATTTTAAAGTGTCATAACTGTGGGGCTTTGCACAAACAGTACTGTTTCCAGGCAGCCATGTGTAATTTTGTGTGTTTTGCAAGACTGCCCTTTTTTGACACTTTTTCCAGCAATCTTTCTCAACAAACTAACTGGCTAGGTTTATTGTGCAAGTCTACTAGGTTTTTTTGTCACAAGACATTTGGTGTGTAAGGTTTTTTAAAATATGTAAGATTGCTGGGGGATTGTTTGCTTTGCATAATCTTGCACAATGCATACATGCATTAGTTTGGAAAGAAATGAAACATATAGCACGTTGAGAGCTGGGAAACTAATTTATCCGCCAGGAAACAAATACTGGCAAAAACACACAGTCAAATCCTCTTGTTCAGTTATCCAATCAGAAAGCCATATTTTCTCTTCCAGTGTACTCCATTCTGTTCCTTGTCCCATCCAATTTTCAGTTATCTGAAAATTGATCTGCCTTGTACATATAGTTCTCTTTGGACTGATTTTGTGGTGTTTTCCCTAAGACCCTCCTATCAAGTTATTCTCTCCAAAGTAGTCTCTTGTGCACAGCTGCTACTGTTTTGATTGCATATGGGTTGATAATTTATCTCTGAGCTTTAGGATAAAAGGCAATGATTTTTCCTGTGATAAGTCTTATACCAGTAGCTAATAGAAATGACAAAGAGTAGCAGAATCATTGCATCCATTTGTTTATGGCGATTTAATACATTGATATCTTCATGTGAATTGAATGTTTTTCTGCTCATGTTTTTCGCTAACCAGTCTCCTATTTACTGAAGCCAACTATCGTACCCCATACTATTCTGAAAGGGCTCAAGTTCCCCAGAAGTCATTTTTGAAGTGCAAGAAGACGGATGATACAGGGGAGGATATTCAGCAAAAAAAGTGTGCCTTTTTGCAATTAGAAATATATGCTTCTAGTTGAAAACAGTGAATTGTTTGCACATCTGGATGAGTAAACCTACTTTTGCATAGGGAAAAGTGCACAGATGGTGGTCCTCTGTTGACTCAAATTTTCAAAATTTATATATATATATTGTGAATTTTTAAAAATAACAGATTCATCTGGTTCCTGGTAACTTCCTTACTTCACCTTGCTTTCTCAATTCGTTTAAACCATGATGTTATATTTCTGGGATACCAACATGCTATCTCTTTGTGTTGCCTATTGTTTCCAGAGCTGAAGCATTTCACAACTTGCTTTCATTATCATGTTTGTTTTGCTCCATTAAAAGGACACTCTGGCACTCATGATTTGTCTGAGAAACATTTTATAGAGTATTGTCAAAATTGCAAGGTCTTTTGAATAATAATTGAAGGACCATAGGAAAAAAAAGTTCTTTGGAGATGTCAGTGTCACTTTCCATCACTATTCATTAAAAGTGGAATCCACTTGAGTCCCTTTGGGAAGATGGTGGAGGGGTATACATAAAGATTATTATTATTATTCTGACACAAAAACACAGTTTGACACAGCAAACGAGATATATGTTGGATTTCGTATCATAAAATCACAAGTCGAATACGTCCCAAGCGTTTAGGACTGTGTGACTTGTTTTTGAATGATGCACGCAGATCCAAGTAAGGTGGCCTTTTGCTGTTGACAGATCGTGATTTTTGTCAGTGTTTATTGTTTGCAAATACTAGCTGAGATATTTTGGCACGGCACCCAGTGTGCCGATTACCACTGGGACCACCTGTGCTGGTTTCTGCCAAAGCCTTTGCAGTACAATTTTGAGGTCTTGATGATGGTTCATTATTTCCTATTGCTTTTTGTCAATTTGACTGTCACTTGGTATGGCGACATCAATAATCCAAACTTTTTTCTTTTCCACAATCTGGTGTATTTTGTTCAAAACCTTTGTCAATTTGGATTCGAAAGTCCCGCAGTATTTTTGTGTGTTCATTTTCCACTAACTTTGCAGGTTTATGATCCCATTAGTTCTTTACCATTGGCAGGTGGTACTTGTGACATAAGTTCCAATGAATCATTTTGGCCACATAGTTGTGCCTCTGTTTGTAGTCTCTCTGTGTGATGATGATGATGATGATGATGATGATGATACCACAGTATGTCACAGCAAATGAGATCTATATGCTGGATTTCGTATCACAAAATTGCAGGTCAAACACTTCCAAGCGTCTAGGACTGTGTGATGTATGATGATGATGATAATGATGATGTTGATGATGATGATGATGATTATTATTATTATTTTATTGAGGCACATTTGTTGTCATACTAAAATAACTCCCATTTTCATGTTGTAATAAATGATATTTTTCTTAAAATCTTGCAGTACCTGATAAGACCATATCTGAAGCATCCAGATATACACATTGCCGAACGCATGAGGATGGCTTTTTACCCCGACACCATAAAAGAGCCCGGATGGGAACCTAAAATAAAACCTACGGTCAGTATAATATACCAGTCCCTTTCCTTTTTTTTTGTTCCTTTTGTTCCTTTGGTTTAGATCAGGTAGAGAGCTGGTCATATCAATACACTAGACATAAAAACTGCTACAGCATTATCATTTTTAAATTTGACTAGAGGAATGATTTGCATTTCTTTGCATTTGACGACTGCAAATTAGATTCAACACACATTTTGAAAACACTGGGAGGCTTAGACCTAAGAAAGAAATTGGTCAGTGAAAAAGTACTGGTAAACATGTGGAGCATTTCTCTAAAGTCCACATTTGCTAAATGTGACTGAGTTTTTTTATTGCAATTTTGGAAAACCTGGAATGACATTTCTTTCCTAGGCAGGCAGAAGAGTGGAAGGAGAGATGCAGTAGGGGAACAGTCTAAAAAAGGCATGCCCATTGATTTTATGAAGCCTTAGTTTTGATTAGTACTTAGGTTTTCAAAATTTTGTGTGTATGTATGCGTGAATTTTCTATGG